GCTATAACATACTCACATGTGGGAGACGATCGAACAAGAATTAGCAAGAAACGTTCAGATGAGTTTGAAAATAAAGACGTTATATATAAATATTCAGTTTTGTTTTTTTTTAAATTCAGATGGTAATATAATGATGTCACAATGTCTGATCAGCCATAATGATCTATAAAATCATATCTACAACTAATATGAAATAAAAATTGGGGGTCACCTTTCATCCTAAGGAGCTATAACTGATTAAAAATAGGCATAATTTAAAAGCATATTGTATATAAATACTGACTCGCGCATGTTAAGACATGCAAACGGAAAATTGAGGTACCTGACATTCATCCTTGACCTGAAGTGTATGCTCATTTAATATGATTCAGAAATGACGAATGGTTAAGATAATTATGGGGTCATCAAAGTATTAAAAAGGGAAAAATGAGGGGGGTCAGAAAAAAACATTTATTTTGATCATAATGATGTCATCAAAAGGAAAAAAGAAGTTGCATATATGATTCTAGATTGGCGGATATGACACTCTTATATTATAGTAATATCCATCATCATCGATCTAAAAGTACTACTACCAATACTACTTCATGCAGGGGCATTCCAGAGATTTCCAAAAGTGGGGGCCGGAAGGTGGGCCCAACGAGATAGCATTATCAAGGGTTTTCGGGGGCATGCCCCTGCGAAATTTGTGTGTTTTAGACGCCTGAAAATGACATCAGAAGCGTTTTGGGTGATCATTATTTTCTTTTTCTTCCTTTCTTTGTTTCCCTTCCAAAATGGGGGACCAGGGCCTGTCTCTTATACACATCTAGATGTGTATAAGAGACAGACCCGGAGCATTGAGATTAGTGGGGAGAGACTTGTACTTGGAGCTTCTCAAATTATAATAAAGGCACATGCACTCGGGTCTAGTATTATAGGTAATTCAGATGTTTGTGGGCAGAGATACCGGTATCTTGCTATAAAATAAGATGTACTCTGTAGAGCGCTCTTTTTCATTAAGGTCATTTATGCAGTTTATTTCAACAATTTTCAAGCTAATCTTCTTGACTCACGAAAAGTGAGGGGTGTCCTTCCCGCATGATCTGCTTCCATGGGTGTGCGAGAGCAAACATTACCTCAGACCCAACATGTTAAGGGCTGAGGTGCAAAAATATTGAGAAAATGGACCTCTGGGTGCCAAAAATCTGGGGGCCCTGCCCCCCACCCCCATGGCTACGCCACTGACCCTACTGTTATATTTTATTCCTAGTTCCTTTAAATTCCTAATTTTACAATAAAACAAATTATAAAACATTGCTTCATTTTGATTTTTACACTGATTTCTGTACAGTGTGTTGAACATTTATATATATTTATTCATTTTGCTTTTAGGCAATACCGTACATAAAAAAACATGACATGCTGTTAAATTGTTAAATTTACGAAAAATTTCAGCTGATACCTACCAAAATGTGCAAAATCAATAAAGAAAATTACCACTTTTTAAAGAAGTTTTTGAACTTTATCTTTGGTCCCATTTTAATGTCAGTTGCTGTACGATGTTAGAGTTTACTTTACATATGCTATTTTAGTTTCATTCATTTTTCGTCGTTGGATTCATGTTTTTGATGCAAGGTCATTTTATAAAAGAGCAGTGGTTAAAAGATAACCGCGTTATCAAATTCTCCATAATGGTACAATATTCATCTCTAAACTTTAATTGCCTTGACAGATTTTAATGGCAATAATTATATAGTATAAGTCAGATTCAATAGAATGATATTGATCTAAAACTTAATTTGAAGATGGTTCATCTAAATGTCTGGTTCTTTGAGGCAGTGTCTTGTATATAATAGTGTTTCCAAATAATACTCAAACGTCTTCTAAATTTAAGCATTTTCAATATAGTTGAGGCCCTTCTTTTAGGTTAAGCAATATATCTTAAATATTCTTCTTTGGGACTATTATGTGTTCAATTAACTTAGAAGGAAAAAAAGACAAGAAGTTTTATATGCGCAAAAATTTTTGAGTTTAGGGCTTATCTTATATAAGGCCTAAAAAAAAAATGGTTTGTTTGCTGTCACATTGTAAATATTTAAGTGAAGGGGCGGGTGGAAAAAAGTTTGTTTTTTTTTTTGTTTTTTTTTAAAAGAAAAATACCAAAACTGTCTTTATAAATGTTTGTAAATGTCATTAGGGGTGGGATAAAAAATTTGGTTTTTTTTGTTTTTTTTAAATGTACAGTATAAACTGAATATATTTCCCTGGTCAAGCTCACCAGCTTCATTTGATATTGGTCATGTTGGTATCTCAGCATATGTGTATGATTTTTTATTTAGTTTTTTGTGAAAGTTTGAATTTCAATAAAGAAATGAATGAACACAAATTTTCTTTAATTCATTTAAACATTTTTATTGTGAATATACAAGTGTACGTTGCCAAAGCCATCATATAAGCCTACAATCATATTACATATCCCTGCATTATTAATGACGTGGGCATTCTCGACCCTCCTTGTGGCATTCACCACAAATGGGCAAGACCACTTTGTATTTTATAACAAGTTCTTGCGGCCTTGATACACCGTCTTCACAACAATAACAGCAGGTTAATGGGTTGCCAATTCCTCCAGAGTAGAAGGCAAATTCTATGTGATTTGCACATGTTATTCCTCTGCGTACAAAGACCTACCAATGAAGAAGAGTTTGAGTGGATAAAGTTTGCATGGTCTAACTATAAACCTGCTAAAATGGGTTAGGGAATCTTATTGTCTTCCTCAAAATTTCTTAAAAAAATATACCTTTTTGTATAGGGGATGATTTGTAAGGATTAGCATTGAAAAGAAAAAAAAGGGCACAAACTGAAAATATGGACCAGGCCTAGGCCGAATGTCAACCACGGCCGTCGCTGTAACGAAAACAGTGAACACAGAAGTCGGTTCACCGTTCTCGTAAAATAAGTTTATGCTAGGCCTCACACAACGAGCAGGCCTGACCACGCCACGAGTAGAGAAAAAGTTTACTGTTCCCCAGCGTAAAACGGACGTAGAGGGCGGGCTAAGAAGCCGATGGCAAAAAATAATCGACTTATTTTAACAAAAAAAAAAAAACATTTTAGCAAAAAAAAAAAAAACCGCCTCTGATTTTTCGGATTTTAGGGGCGGCGGATGACGGCAAACAAACAAGTTTTTTTTTTTGGCCTAATAGGCTACTAGGCCACACATGTGTGTTAGAAACTAAATATAAGTTTTTTCATTATTTATTTATACAAACATATTCTTTCACCATCAGTACACATTGAGGCCCTTCTTTTTTAGTAAAACGATCTATCTTAAATTTTCTTAGAGTTTGGGCTATTATGTGTTTAATTAATTTAGAAGCAAAGGAGGACAAGCAAAGGTTGTATATGCGCGCGAAACGTGCAAAAATGCTTGAGTTTAGGGCTTATCTTATATATACAGTAATAGGCTACTAGGCCACACACGTGTGTTTTAAACTAAATATAAGTTTTTTTTTTATTATTTATTAGAAACATATCTTTCACCCTCAATACACATTGAGGCCCTTCTTTTTTAGTAAAACGATTTATCTTCACTTTTCTTATCTTTGAGTGTGGGCTATTATGTCTTCAATTAACTTAGAAGCCAAAGGAGGACAAGCACAAGTCAACCCTAAAAATGCGCGCGAAGCACCCAAAAAAATTGAGTTTTTATTGCTAATTTTGTCGGAATTGAAAGAAAAATCCTGTCAAAACTCCCTAAAATGGAAATTTTTAGTGGAAATTGGCCTACTTTACAAAGAAATGCGCGCAAAGCGCTCGAAATTGGACATTCTTTAGGCACTTTCAGGGGTGAAAAGGGCATCTTCATGGGTGGGAGGAGATTTTTCACAGGGTTATTTATCCCTTTCCCCCCCCCCCCCCCGGTGGTTACACCAATTAAGAGAATATGTGGCTGCTTAGATCAAAGGCGCTACTAAACCAAAATGCGATGTACGTCTTCTCGTACGGTACCCGATTCGATGTATCTCATCTACACCGGACTTGTGTATCACATGAGACAACTATACACATGTATAGTTGTCTCAGGTATCACTCACAACTATTTTGCTCTAACTCTGTGGACATTTTTTTTAAGTGGAGAAGGGGTTGTCATGGTGTTCTGATATGTAGTCATATGATATATTCCCTTTAATTCTTGTCTTTATATTTCTCTTTTATTATATTTTTCTTTTCCTTTTTCCTCTCCTTTTCTTTCTCCTTCTTTCTCTTTCTCTCCCTCTCCCCTCTTTCTTTCTTTCCTCTTCTTACCCAGCCCGGTACGACGGTTTCAGCCCGGTAAAAATCCGTTAGGGGGGGGGGGTGGCATTCTGCCTCCCTTCTCCCCCTGCCTGTTACGCCACTGATTAGAATGCAATACTAGAGCGTCTCAGATATACTTTTTATCAAAACCCCCGGTTCTCTCATTTCATGTTAAAAACCTTTTTGATACTTTTATAGCATACTAGCATTTTTTTTCTGGATCCTCTTTGCTGATAATGTTAACAAAGGTGACGAATGATGTTGACTATTATAATGATGATGAGGATGTTGGTGACGATGACAAAGATTATTTGGGTATTAAAACGCCAACCAAATATATAAATATTTAAATAACAATATTTATATAATCATTCACCAAAAAATTTGCAATGAAAAATGTAGCATTGTTTTAATTTAAGTCAATTAACTCTGTACAAAATATTATGAATTTAAGTGAGAGGCGTTTATTAAAAAATATAGCGCCCGCAGTGGTGTATCCAGAATTTTTTTTTTTTGGTGGTAGGGTTGGTTGGGGGTTCGTGATCATATTGGAGCTTCGGACCAATTATAAAATTTTGGACCTTATCACAATAAATATAAGAGCGTCGACATTTTTTTCCATAAAATTGGGATGGAGGAGGAGGGCTCAACCAGTCCAATTTTACCTCAGCCCCACCACGGTTGGGGTAGGAAATTTTAAAATATATAACCTCGTCTAGATGACCGGAAAAGACACTCTCATTGGACCTTCGAACCAATGGACCGTCGGACCAATGACTAGTCACCTTAATTTGGACAAAGAAATAGATAGCGGGAACTATGATGATAAGCTAAATGTAGACATCAGCCTGGATGAAGTAAAAGTAGCGTTTATACAGTAGCACAAAAGACAGGAAAAGCACCAGGTATTGATAGTATGATCATCAAAATTTTTTCAAACATTCCCAATTTTGTTTTTTGCAAAATTAATATTCTGTATAATCTAATGTTTTCACTTGGGTATTTTCCTCAACGGTGGGCTACCAATGTAATTGTTCCCATATACAAAAAATGTAACCAAAAATTATAGAGAAATATCAATAATTCCTACACTCGGAAAAGCTTTTTGTTATATTATTAATAGAAGATTATCGAAATGGGTAGATGATTTTAATATTCTAAATCAAGAACAGGCAGGATTTAGGAAAGGATATCGAACTTTCAATATTGTTTTTATATTAAACATAATCGTTTCAAATTACCTTGATAAAAAGCGGGGAAGAGTTTTTGTTATATTTGTTGATTTAATAAACCATAATTATCTCATTTATAAATTAAAGAAAATCGGTGTTCGGGGCATTATAATGAATGTCATCACATCTTTGTACGCAAAATTGCACGCTCATGTTAAAATTGGTAATGAGTTAACCCAGGTGTTCAAGATTGAAATCGGTATACAACAAGGATCACCATTATCGTCCCTTTTATTTAATATTTTCTGCAAGATTTAAGTGAAAATCCAAAATTGCCGAACAAAATAGATAAAATCCAGATCCGTGATAGTCTATTAAATCATTTGCTATATGCAGATGACCTTGTATTTATAGGGGATACTATTAAAGGACTACAGAGCTTAATTGATATACTTTCTAAATATTGTGACGAATGGCGAATCACTGTTAATGTCGAAAAAACTAAGGCTATGATATTTAAAAATCGTGGCAAGATACGGAAAATAGAAAAATGGTATTACAAAGGAAACATTATAGAAATTGTTAATTCGTTTAAATACCAAGGTGTATCACATATTAGACTCAAAAATACTTACTATTCTCACGTATGGATCAGAAATTTGGGAATTTAAAAGACATTAAAATGATTTAACGTGTCCATAGCCAGTTTTGTAGATAGGTTTTAAGTGTAGGAATAACGCGCCCAACATATCGATTCTATCAGAAATGGGACAGTTTTTCAATTCTATTACATGTCTACTTAATATAATTCGATTTTGGATATACATTATCCACACTGATCAGAGCAGGTCTTTAGTAAAATGTTGTAATTTACAGATTAGAAAAATAGAATGAATTGAGAATTGTTGGGCTATGCAAGTTAGAAATTTACTTTTTTCTATGGGCTTTGGTTTATGTGTGGATTACCCGGTTTTTACCGGGCCGACCAAGTCGTCGTACCGGACTGGGTAATAAGAGAAAAGAACGAGGGGAGAGGGAGGGAAAAGAAAAGGAAAGAAAAAGAGAAGAGAAAAATAAAGACAAGAATAAAAAGGAAGCTATCATAATGACCAGACTCACAACACCCATGCAACCCCTTCTCTACTTCAAAAACTGTCATAACTCCTTTGATCTGCTGCCCGATGGCGTAACCACTGGGAGAGAAGGGGAAAATATCTATCTTTGAAAAATCTTCCCCACCCCTTTTTGGAAATCTTTCTCCACTCCTTGACAAATGCATCCTCTAAAATTCTCAAATTCTTTGCGCGCATTTCTTGTTACGATAGGACAATTTCCCTTTATAAATTGCACATTTTAGATAGTTTTCATCAATTCCGACGAAATTAGAATTAAAAACACAAAAATATTTTGCGCGCTTGGCACGCATTTTTTAGGGCTTTTTTTAGTTTTATCCTTTTAAGTTATTTAAACACATTATAATAGTCCCAAACTCAAGAAAGACAAATTTAAGATAGATCATTTTAACCTAAAAGAAGGGCCTCAATGTGTATAGATGGTGAAAGAATGTGTTTGTAATAAATACAACCATGCGTGTGTGGCCTATATTATAAATAAGATAAGCCCTATGTCGTATTGTTTTCTATATGGGGAGTGGGGTGGGGTGGGTATGGTAAATTACTAACCGGGAAATGAGGATTGTATGTTGTTGTTGTTGTTGTTGTTGTTGTTGTTATTATTTATTATTATTATTATTATTATTATTATTATTATTGTCGTTGTAGAAGGGTTACCCTCTTTAAAGATGGTTGAAAAAATTTTTTTTTTTTAAATATACCCACTTTGACCCAAGACCCCTGTTACGCGCCTGGTGTTAGCGCCAATATGTGCCCTTGTGCGGACAGGAGATATGCCCCCCTCTGAAGCTGGAAACCTTGTTTTTGCAAAATAAATTGATGCAATTTGCTGTTATAGGCCTAATCAATAAATTCCTCATCAACCGATATAACCTTAAACATTCTTGGAATTGATATAACATTACTGATATCGTACTATACACACCCTTCAGTGTGAAATGTGGCTCTCTTTGCAAGCACATCTAACATCTAAGGAAAGAAGAGCTTAGATTGGTACCAGATAAAATAATTTTGTTATCAACATTAATACATTATGCTAATTTTCATCTTTGTAAGCGCATAAGACAGTGCAAATTATTTCTGTGACAGTCTTTTGAAGTGTGTAAAGCTCCATTTTATCCCATACATAATCAAAATATTGGGCGGGATGATTCAATGGACCATCCCCCCCCTTGTCAAATATTGGGGGGATATATCCCCTCCATCCCCCCCGGGATCTACGCCTATGCAAAGAAACGAACCACTATGTAAACTATGTAATTATGATTTAGTTGAAGATGAGTTATATTTTATTTTACAATGTCCTTATGAAAAGTTAAGAAAAAAATATTTACCACCATATTATATTAGCTTTTCTTCAATAGAAAAATTTACTTTATTAATGTCCTTTAAAAATCAAAATATATATTATAACCGTGTCAAGTTTACTTATCTTGCATACAAAAATAGAAACCATTATTTTAATAGCCTACTCACACATAGAAGCTGATTATTTTATGATTTTTGTTTATATTGTATTTGGGCCAGTGGCCTATATGCTAATGTCCTAGGTATAATTGTATGAATGGAACGAATGATGTACTGTGTAGCAGTGGACGATGAGGCATAATAAGACTAGGCCCAGGCCTAACTAAGTAGACAGTGCAATTATATGTGATAGAAAGTACATTTTCGAAAGAAATAAAATAAGAATAATTCAGTTGCAGAGGTACCTTGTTAAAGTATTATACAATGCTAACAATGCGGCTCTTGTAGCCCTAGCTAGGCAAGGCATCCATGTGCAAAGCAGTGGTGTTTGTTTATCCATGAAAGAAGCACGCCGGGAAAGTTTTGCCTTACCAGGAAAGGGTGACGTAATCTAGCTTATGACGCATGTGAGTGTGATGTCACCAAAAAATGAATATTTTCTATTATAACCAAAATATTAATAACTACAAAGTTTGTGGACGTAAATTCCTTTAATACGAATTAAGGGTTGCACAATCTTCTTGTCAATGTCATACAAATTACAGCTCCCACTGATGTCTCAGTCGAGAAATACGAGTTGCTGAAGTTTTTCTCGCAAATCTGACTATGAAATCATATCGAAAATTTACGTTCCACTTCTGACAGAGTTGTGCTACGTGAGAGGCGTTATAAAAACAAACAACTACCCAGATCAACCTGACCGCATGGGTTGGAGGTGCTTGACTTTGAAACAAATAAATAATTAGACGAACAATGTAATAGGTTTGACAAGAATATAATTGGCATAATATATTCATTCAACACAAGAATACATATTGAAGATCAAACAACAATATAAAGTATAAGTCAATTAAAATTGTAACTTATGATTTGTTGAACATCTAAGGTAGCGACGCGACTTGTCTCCTGGCTTCGCTTGTTGTAACTGGACGCTTTTACATTCGCAATCCACAGCACATCAGACACATGACCAGATCAAGTATGCACGCAGACGCTTCCGTTGCTCTCATCTGTTGGTTCGGTAGCTGGACGGTACCTTGTTCGATAACCCAATCACAGTATGACACCCCTAACAGATCACTACTTCGCTCAAACTGTAATAATGAGCAAAGTGTCGAGGATGACAACACAGCAAAGATATAGGCTGATGTTATAGCTTGCCTGCCAAAATGTGTTTTGTCTAGCCCCATTTATATAATTAAGTCAAAATTGCTAGCATAATAGATATACAGGGCTATAATCATAATTTCAGTAGCGTTAAACATGAATTACATTATTAAAAATACCTCATAGGATTATACAATATCACAATAAACATAATTGTGTAAGTTTGAATAACGTGAATCAATTGTTCAATCTTTAGCATAAAATCTGGAATGCCTTGCTTCGAATAATAAAAGGTACATTAAGGCTAAGGCCCATAAAAGACTGTACAGGGATATCACTTTAATACTAATTCATATTACAACTGCATTATCGACTAACAGTGGTTGGCAGTAATATATAGTGCATTTGAACATAGTAAACAAGTTATCCTAAACTTCTTAAACTACTAACAATAAAGTATAAAATACATTGGTTTTTACCTGTAATAATGAGCAGAGTGTCGAGGGTGACAACACAGCAAAGATATAGGCTGATGTTATAGCTTGCTTGCCAAAATGTGTTGTGGCGAAATCTACAACATTAACAAATCTTGAAAATGACCTTCTACTTTGTAACGATTATGATACATGGACACTTTTTTCAACAACAAATGACGATATTAAACTTCAATATGTATTAGGAGGAGATTCAGTTTTTATTTGTGATGAATCTACCTCTATTTTTGATAATCTCTGTAAAAAATACATCATGAATGCTTGGGAGAAACGCTCACAACTAAAAAATTCACAACAATAATTTACTGTAAATGTATCGTTGCTTATCAAATTGTGTAATGTTAATTTTTTTTTTTTTTTTTTTTTTACTCTACATCGTAGTCTGTATTCCTTAAGTTTAGTAGGTCTACCTTGGT